AATAGTATAAGGATAATAAGAATTAAATATGTAATAACTAAACAATACGTTGGACAGACATGACTGAGTGAGTTTTGAACTCAAGTGTTCTCAAATTCTTGGGGAAGCATGGGATAAAACATACTAAAATACAAATTTGGTTAGAGCTGTAATTTAAAGAAAAGTGATCGTGGCCTTGGTATATCGCCACTTATACGGGTGAACAGCAATAACTGTCACGTTGGACAAAATTTGTATCACTTCATTCCTTTTAGCTCATCATTTTCCTTACATTCACAGAAAACAAATATTACACCGCTGATGTATTATAACTTAATTCTACAGCTGCACTGATCAAAATGGATTAAAAAATAATTGTTTTCCCATATCAGCTGACCTACATATAAAAAAATATTATCTTACACATGTAATGGAGGACAAGTAGGCTTGATTATTAGATTTTCTAATCAACCTTTGCGGTTAAGTAGGTGAAATGCACATTTATTTGTCGATTTAAGCCCAAGTATCTAACCTACAAAAACATGTTTTACAGGAAGACATAACATGAAAATAATACATATTTGAATGTCAGTAATGTATTTTATACTTAGCACATTAGTAAAGTTTATGTCTAATCTAAGCTTAGTTAAACACACTAATTTATAAAAATGAAAATTAATGAAATTAATGAAATAATGAAAATTAATGGACGTTTGATCTGTAATGTTAAATTAATGTTTACTTAAAATATTTGAGATGAATCTTTTTCATTCTTAAGGTTGTGAAATTACAAAAATAGAACAAATCAGAGTAAATGACGTCTGGAATTAATGTAGAAGTTCCAGACTGATATAAAACTTCATCAATCTGCGTCACAAAAGACATCAATCGTCTTTCAATATAGGTCAGAAATACAATATCTGAAAGAGCTCAATAGTTATTTACGATTGTGCTAACTAAATGACATTTAAAATGTCAATCTATTTTACATTTAAATAATTATCACCCTAGACGGTTCAAAATAATTTAAATTAGAATAGTAGTTAAGCAAAATTTCCTTAAAAATGTATCCGTAAATATATGGAGTCCCATGATAATAAGTCATTGACGTGACTCTTTAGAAATCTGTTTAATGATAAGTCATTTTCAAGAAGACTTTTAGTATTGACAAAAATGACCACACACCACTTTTCAACTGCAAACATGACTGAAATGTGATTAGTATGAATCGTGTACAGATATAATACTAAAGGTAGGTCTAACAAGTCGTTTTATAGAGTTTTCCTTTTCCATCCAGGGGGTTTTATTGGGTGTGCATTTTTCCTCTGACCTTCAAAGAAGACAAATAGTTTTATTAAGCAAGCTGTTGTTATTTCATTAACCTTGTACATATTACAGTAATCAACTTACCGAATGTGTTGCTTCTTGAAATTATATTTCTGCTTTACTTATTTGTACTATTTATGAGTCACAAAACGTTCTAAAGTTTGCAATAACTCATCATTTAAGATTTGCTTTGGTTTGGTTTTAGAATCCAACAATAAAAGATAATTGATGAGAGCAGCACACTCTGACAGTAGCGTAATGTAACTATATCCAGTGTTATCACTAACCTGGCTACCGTTTTTATATGGGAAAGGAAAGTCTGAAAACTCTCAATTAATTGTCAAAGGTATTACTTTTAGAGCCTTAGTTTCACGAGTTGGTGGCATCAGTTGGTAGGGTCACGTATTTCGGGCCCAAGGCAGCGATGTCGTGGGTTCGGATCCTGGTCACTGCCGCACATTTTATCAGTACAGTTAACCTTCGTACTGTACCGGCTCACCCCTTGCTTTGCTGGAAACGACCAACGCACAGACCTGTAGTCCATGTGTGGACGGGCAAATGCAAGGTTTGAAACAGGCCGCCAACCTTTAAAAAAAAGATACCAAAGGGCCCAATAGTAATCAAATTAGTTTTTTCTCTGTTGAAACATAAATCAGCTCTTAAACCTCGTACATTTGATTTTTTACCAAGACCAGAAAATGCCACGATACTTGAGTGGCGAGACAAATTACTTAGTACTTTTGAGTGCAAGTTGCATTGAGAGCAACATACACCTTGACCTTTTGAAGCACATGTCATTGCAGGGAAGAAGTGGTGTTCAGTACGGTTTTGTAAATATGTTAATTAGTAGTCTCATCATCAATCATTAATTTTATTAACATTTAATTAACAGTGTGCATAGGTTTTCAACGTTTATTTGTGTGTTAGTCACTTATTTTAAGTCTGTAAAATGTACTCTACTCTACTCACACACACACACACACACACACCATGGCAATTCCCTCCTCCACATTCTCCTTAAAATCATACGATGCCTACGTCATATGGCGTGATATATCTCTGTCTCTTTCCCTCTCATGGAAAATTCAAATTTCCCCACCATGATTTTATTCAGTTAGCGTCTAAAACCTTCCTCGATCGGACCTATGTGCCGCACCGCGCCGTTTGTCTGGCAATCTCTCGGTCTTTTGACCACCTCGTGGTGGAAGTGTCCCCACTTTAAAAACTATCTCTTAATCAGTGAATAATAGTACTAAATTTCCCATTTCGAAGTGTGTAGTGCATCTGAACTTCCAGATCTTCTTGTGTGTCCCTCAGAGTGGTGAGCTCACCCAATCCCCATTCCCCCTGCTACTTTCCAGTGTTGGATTTTCTTATTGAAAGGTATGTGACATTGTTTTTTTCTCAACTCTAATAACTCTCATATCGAACATTTTGGTCCTTCGAGCCAGATGAGCTTTGAATCACGCTTTGGAAACCTGCCACTTATTTGTAACTTTGAACTTTGATTCGGCATCCTTTGTAAAGCCACATGTTTATTTTTCGTTATTATTTCACTGAACTCAAGTCTCAAACTCTCTCTCACAATTTTCTGTGCGGTAAACACTAATTTTATTGTGCATAAACTCTGAACATTTTGTAGTATAAGTGCTCATTGAAATTAATTATTTCGTTTTGGCGCGGTATCGCCATTTTTTCTTGGTTGCGTCGGTTGTACATGAACGAGGGAAACGACGATTCCCCCTCTTTGCAAATCAACTTGAACTGTATTGGACGATATGCGCGCCTGCGCGAACATCGCTTGGTGATCGTATCGATCGTAAGCGTTCTCCCCCTCTGATCGATCAGCTGATCGACCGAACTCACAGCGCATCAGCTGTGCAATTGATGTGAACTTTATTCTTTTCCTCTCCTTCCTCTCACAACAACAAAAACAACACATATGCCTCTGTCAATAGTTTTAATTAGTTATAAGTGTATGTGTAAATTTTGATTTGTTGTTGATAATAGTCCTACAGTCGTTTATTAATCATAACGTAATTTGTTATTGACCTTGCCAATTTTTATTTGTTTTTATTTCTCATTTAATTATATTTCACAATAATATACTAACACCTCTTGTGGTCATAAATGCTGATCGTCTTTAAACAATTGTTTATTATTAGTTGTTCTCTCGTGTAATACATTTAATCCTTGACTGCAAATTACACAATATTTAGTGGCCCTTTCACTATTGACGTTTCTTGTTTGTCTTGTTTATTCTTTCGTTTTCTTTTGAGTAATCATAGTATATCCTTGTTAGGTGCGTATTGTTGTTCTGTTAAACAGTTAATTAATAGGAATCAACTGATTTAACTTCACTGTTGTAAATGACCTAGTTTTACATTTGTACTTTTTGTTAATTATTGTTCTATCATCAAATTACTTATTTAGTTAATTTAAGTAGTTTATGATATATCTATTTAGAGCACACTTTATGTATGTACTACCGATCACTGAGATCATAACACGCGGTGAGCGTAGCTGATTTCCGTTTATAGCCTCTCTAGGTCAGCTGTTTCAGTCAGCTGTTAGTACAAAGCCAAACGGTGTTCATTGTGGAACATCCGGAACCGACTCAAAATACGGTATTCCATTTAAAAGCCGTACAAGCTCTATAAATCCTCTGATATTTTATATTCGCTCATCTAAATATTCGTTTGACAGCTCTTGAACACAAATAGTGTCCACTTAACAATATTAAATAGTTGTTAATTTTTCATTTATGTTTTCTATTTGTCACTGATTGTACATAAAAGAGGCTAACGTAAAACATTTTTATAGGCTAACCACTGTGTATAAATACGTTTGAATACAAAACAAACCATTAGAGTAATACATTTATCCACTATTGTTATGTATTGTTGAAACTAACTTTTCTTTGTTAACAACATTGTTTAGCATTTATTCATGTTTAATGCTTATCATAACTTTTTTCTTTTATGGTTTCATCATTGTAGATTTTTTTTGAACTTATTGTAAGGTAATTCATAATCTAAACAATGCCTGGACCAATCAAGTTTTCCACGTATGAACGCTCCACTGCTTTAATCAAAGCAAGGTTTGAGAAAATTCTCACTGCAGTAGAAGCTGTAGCTAATCTACCCCCTCCTCTCAGCCAGGTCAACTTAAGAACCTTAAGTAGTTATGCAAAAGAAATAACTAAAAAACGTGCTGACTTTGAAGGTAACCTTCAAAGAGTTCTTGAAGGTTTGGCCCCTGAAGAAGCTCCAACCTCACAACTGTCTAATGATCAAGATGATATCAACTATGTTTATATCAAAATTCAAAGCATTATTGAATCCTTGAATCCAATTGACGAACCACGCACCCCTTCTGCACATAGCGAGCCAGGTTCAGTTTTTACTCATGCGTCAGTAAATATTAGGCTCCCGAAGCTGGAACTAAAACACTTTGATGGCAATCCATTACAATGGGTTAGTTTTATTAACCTCTTTGACTCTAGTGTACATAAAAATGTGAGTGTGTCTAATGTGGCCAAATTTCAGTACCTTTTAAGCGTTGTGTCGGGAGAACCCCTCAGCTTAATTAAATCCCTTAACATCACCACTGCGAACTACTTAGTTGCTTATCAACTCCTTCGTGACCGTTATCACAACACAAGGCGGCTCACCACACTGCATTTAAACCAGATAATGGACCTGCCTAACATTACCTCTGGTTCTCTCCATCAACTTAGGGGATTCATCAACTTGTTCTACGAACATAGTGAGGCCCTTAAAGCCCTCGATTGTGATGTCTCATCTAACTCTAACCCCTTACTGTCAGCATTGATATTACGTAAAATAGACTCAGACCTTCGCAAAAAACTTGAAGCTTATAGGTCTACTCAAGACCATGAAGCACACACTCTGCCGGAAGTGACGGAAAGTATAACATTCCTCAATATCGAATGTGATCAAGTGGAAGACGCTGGTTTGCACCTAACTCACTCTTCTATAAAGACTAATTGTGGTCAACCCTCTAAATTCAAAGGCACAAAGTCGGTCAAATTCTCCTCTGACCGTCCCAGCAAGACTGTAGCTATGCTTACCACTCACAAGACGCAATCGTCTACCTCTTGTTTTGACTGTGGTAAACCAGACCACAAAATTTATGTTTGCCCTTCCTTTAAGGGTAAAACCCCTCAACTACGATATCAAATCGTAAAAAAGAGAACAGATGCATCTCTTGTCTCGGCTACCATGATAGCAAGGTATGCAAATCTCAGGCTACTTGCTACATTTGTCATAAAAGACACCATAGCCTGTTGCACGCGCACTTTCAACAACCCTCAGCTGACGTCAAACCTCATAAGGTACCTAAAGACAATCTCTCTCCCGCTAAAGTAGCTACAGCCATGACCTCTCAATCTCAGTACAGTTCTGAATCCACTGTGCTCTTAGGTACCTTGTTGGTACAATTGACCTCCCCTCAAGGTACTACTCACGTCTTCCGGGCTCTCTTAGACTCAGGAAGTATGTGTAATTTTATTTCTGAGCGTGCTGCTCAATTGCTGGGTGTCAAGCGCACACATTCCTCTGTTCAAATAACAGGTATTGCTCAAACGGCTACTTCTACCCGAGGACTGACACACTTGACCACTCTCTTCCACCAACCACTCTCTCAGACCTCACCATGGCAACTCAGCACCCCTTCCTCATTTTAGATAGGATTTCTATGGATTTACCTAGAGCAAAACTGACCCCGGAAGTGTTCCACAAAGCCAAAGCCTACACACTAGCTGACCCTACGTTCCACTTACCTAGTAGTGTAGATGTTCTGTTAGGTGGAAGTTTATTCCCACAGTTACTCACTAACGAAAGCCACTCGCTTGGTCCCAACCTCCCCCATGCTGTAGGCAGCCATTTTGGATTCATTATAATGGGACAAGCACCATGTACGTCAATCACTCCTCTTTCAACACATTATTCTGTATCCATGCTCTCTGTCAATGACACAGAGTTACATAACTCGTTGCAAAGGTTCTGGTTGCAGGAAGAACTACCTCCATGCAATAAACGGACAGCGGAAGAAGAACTTTGCGACAAACATTTTGACGCCACTCACGCTAGAGATTCAGACGGACGTTACATTGTCAGTCTTCCATTCAAACAGGCTCACCCCCCTCTTGGAGCTTCTAAGCTTGCTGCGGAGCGTAGATTTCGCGCACTGGAACACAAATTCCGATCTCAGCCTAATTTCTCGGAACTTTATCATGAGTTTATGAGTGATTACCTCTTAGCAGGTCACATGGAAAAGGTTTCCACCATTGACTTATCTCAACCTCATTATTTCCTCCCTCACCATGGGGTACTAAAGGATACTAGCAGTACCACAAAGCTACGCACAGTTTTTGATGCTAGTGCGCAGACTAGCACAGGTATCTCTCTAAACGACGTCCTTCTCACTGGACGAAAACTCCAAACAGACATTTGTGACATTTTACTAAATTTTAGAGTCCATAATGTTGTTTTTACCTGTGACATACGGCAAATGTACCGACAAATTCGAGTCCGCCCAGAAGACCAGAATTTTCAGCTGATCCTATGGCGTGAAGACCCCTCTCACGAGCTTGACATCTACAAGTTGACAACAGTGACCTACGGCTTAAATAGTTCCCCCTATCTGGCCATAAAGACCTTGGGGCAACTGGTGAAGGAAGAAGGTGAAGCTTTCCATAACGCAGCCAGAATCATCATCTCTCATTCCTATGTTGATGACATCATCACAGGCTCTGTTGACGAAGAATCAGCCCTCCAACTCCAGGGTCAACTCATCGCCCTCCTGAAGAAAGGTGGATTTGAACTCCAGAAGTGGTCGTCAAATTCCCCTCGCCTACTGGAAGCAGTTCCAGAAGATCATCGTGAGACACCTGTCTTTATGCAAGATCCAGAGCAACCTCATTACTCCATCTTAGGACTACACTGGTCACCTACTACGGATTCCTTCTCCTATCACTTGGACCTACCCTCCGGCGCTTGTACTAAGCGTCAGCTACTCAGCAACATCACAAGAATTTACGACCCTGGTGGTTTTTTCTGTGACTTTGACATGGACTACTCCTTCTTCAGATCTTCATGCTGGAGACCTCATCCTACTTCAGGAGTCATCACCCCCCTTCAGTGGCCCCTGGGACGCATCACCGCAACACATCCCGGAGACGATGGTATAGTGCGTGTGGTGGACGTGCGCACCAACCAGGGTACATATCGAAGGCCTGTCTCAAAGGTCTTCCCTCTTCTCATAGACTAAGTGTCTTAGACATGCCGGCTTGTAGACAATCATTTGTTGAAGCCTACAATGCTTCAAGGCGGCCGGTATGTTCAGTACGGTTTTGTAAATATGTTAATTAGTAGTCTCATCATCAATCATTAATTTTATTAACATTTAATTAACAGTGTGCATAGGTTTTCAACATTTATTTGTGTGTTAGTCACTTATTTTAAGTCTGTAAAATGTACTCTACTCTACTCACACACACACACACACACACCATGGCAATTCCCTCCCCCACATTCTCCTTAAAATCATACGATGCCTACGTCATATGGCGTGATATATCTCTGTGTCTTTCCCTCTCATGGAAAATTCAAATTTCCCCACCATGATTTTTTTTCAGTTAGCGTCTAAAACCTTCCTCGATCGGACCTATGTGCCGCACCGCGCCGTTTGTCTGGCAATCTCTCGGTCTTTTGACCACCTCGTGGTGGAAGTGTCCCCACTTTAAAAACTATCTCTTAATCAGTGAATAATAGTACTAAATTTCCCATTTCGAAGTGTGTAGTGCATCTGAACTTCCAGATCTTCTTGTGTGTCCCTCAGAGTGGTGAGCTCACCCAATCCCCATTCCCCCTACTACTTTCCAGTGTTGGATTTTCTTATTGAAAGGTATGTGACATTGTTTTTTTCTCAACTCTAATAACTCTCATATCGAACAAGTGGGTTGATGTCAATGACGCCTCGTGTTAAAAGTGTTCACGCCTTTCCACTGCATCTGCAATTTCAAAAGGGATAAAATTATTGAAGAAAAAATTTCATTGCATTGCATAAATATTACTTACAGTTCATCTAATGTATGTTTTTAACAGTTTTACTTATAAAAAATCTAATTTTTTATTTTACCAAAATGAAAATAATATTGTTTCTACTTTGTTGCACTATGGTTTGCAGGGCATATTAATGAGCTTTATTCAGGACTTGGCAGATCATACCAAAGTGGTTTGTAACTAATGATTCACAAATTTGTACCTGAAAAAAATTGTATTGTATGTAATTCTGATACATGCATTTGGGTTCTACTAATTGTTTCTATAGTATGTGGTTCTATTTAAATAAATCGTTATGTTTTTAAAAAGTTGCTAAAGATTTTTGTTGTTGAGTATGAAAATATGTGTAAAACCTTTGGTAAAACTTAAAAGTAATTTTTATCAAATTCAAACATACATACATTATGAATATTTTCTTAAATAGATTTTATAATGATGTATAATATGACATTTAACACCACTAGTACACAGTTTCACTAAACTTACAATCAATGGCGAGCCGGTTTTGATCAGGAAATAAATTTAAACTACGAAGAGGTTTTGAGATGCAAATTGTTTGAATAATAAATAGCTGGACCATTCATCCTATCTTGTTGACCTTGCTTGAGAAGATTAAATTCTAAAAATATACGCTAGCTATTGAACTCTTCTCGGAAGTTACGGTTTTGGATTTCTTGACTTAAGTAATTATTTATAATTTATTAGTATTATTCTTCAGTACTTCCTTTTCAGCAAGTACTCTTTAGTAACAAATCTGAACAGATAACATTATATTAGCAGTGGATTCCATTTCCATGAATTTAGTCACAAAATGCTTCACTTTTTCTACACAACAAGTATATTTTTTCAGTTATTTTATTCCTTTACCATTATGAACTGTAAAAAACACCCAAAAAAAAAATAAGGTGACAATATATGGTTACACGTCAGTATGGGTTGGTAAATATTCATTTACGATGGATTGCAGAAAATGAGATTTGTCGATAACTGTTATGATACCAAATAACACGATAATTTTATCATTGAGTATAGTTGTTGTCCATACGGTAATATAGGTAGCTTAAAATACAGAACATAGACTAAAACCCTTTACGCAAATAAAGTGAATATACTTAAAATATACTTCAATTATTTTTTATTAATCATACAATTTATTTAAGAAAGCTATGTACGGTGTACTTAACTGAATATGGGCCAAATGAAATATTAAAAGTCTAAAAAATCTTGTACGCTATGGACTGGTATTTTAAGTTATAAAAAAACGTTTACGCCGATACAATTATGTGCAACAACATTTATTTATCCATAAAACATACAACTGACTTTTATTTCTCAGGCTTTTATTTTTCAAAAGTTCCAAAATATGTGCAATAAAAGGTGTTACGTTCAATGTACTTGTTTGGGGAATGGTTCCAACGACCTTTCATGGAAGAGCGAGAACGGTTCATTTATCCCAAAGCTCTACACGGCGTCTTCAAAGGTTCCTTTGGATTCCATTTTCACAGCATTATTTGTAGAAATTCCGCCCGTTGAATGATATTAATTAATTCACAGAACATCTTCACAGATGGCTGAGGGAGGTTTGCATTTGTTAAATATTTCAAAACAGTGCAAACAAAATCCATCCATTAAATGCTATTTAATTTATTGTACTTTAAATTTATTTTACTAGTTTCATGGCACATTCACTATTTTAAAATTTAGATATCCCCTTGATTAAAAACAAATTAATAAATTCTTACTACTATAATTTTCCCAATAATTGTGTTTGGTATATTTGAAAACCTGTCGTTGTAGGGTGTATTTCATGAAAAATAATTGTTGTATTGTAAAAGTTTTTACCCATTGTAATATTTACGCAAACCCAAATTAAAAAAGTAAATATTTCATTTTAAACAAGTCAGTAAATGTTTGTAGCACATGTCTTCTTAAATTGAAACTAAAATATTAACAGCAATTCAATTATACCACTGATCATAATGTAAACAATTATTTTCTTCATACTGATAACATGGGGACTTTAAAAGAAACTGGGGCAGAAGCCAAGGGCTTTAAAAAAATGTAAGGTCAGTTTGCAAATCTACACACCTAGACGAACATTTTGGTAATATGTGCAGTTAAATCTTAAAACAAAAAAGCCTTATTGTTCACAAAGAATTATGTAGCGTATGAATAATATATAGAAGATAGAGATGTTTCACACCTCAGCAGCTGACAGTGTGTCACAAACAGCTGATGGTGTGTCACAAACAGCTGATGGTAATTTTGGCAGGTTTTAAGACAGCTTAGATATGATATACATACTTACACCTCAACATAAGATATCGAACTCTAGTACCACTTTAAGTAACTTAGTTAAATGTCAATCAGTAAATACCGTGTAGTCGACTAGTATTGATGAATTTGTGTATTAATTCACATTGATTTGTGTTCTATGTTAAAAGTCTGAGGTATGTTTAGTAGGTGAATAGAAATTGCGTAACAATTCCTGTATTATTCTAACAGCCTTTATAGTTATTACTAATTTTCAGTATTGAATAACATAATTAAACGTTACATAATTGTGTTATTTATTACTGATATGTAAGTAAGGCAGTCATTAGTAAAAGATAATTAATTTACTGTAGAATTAAATAAATATTCTTATGCCGCACATAAATGTATAATATTTATGTCTTAGTACACGTGGTAGAAACAGTTCAAATTAGTTTTGTTTGTGTTAACAATGGGAAAAAACGTTAAGCAAAAACAGGGTGAGAGTTACAGTTATCCAGCTCACCAACTTGTTTACTAACTACAGTAACAGTCAGGCTATCCAAAAATCAACGGGGTTTTTGTCGTTACGGTATCATTTCAACTGGAACTATGCAGAACTCTTTAATGGTTAAAAACCCAAAACTTAACCTAATTAACACTGTTCTGAATATAAAGAACGTGTCTTAAAGTGATAAACTAAATATTATTTAAAGTAAGGGTTTGTGATTTTCCGTCTTTAATTAAGCTACAAGTGAGTAATTACAATTTTATGGATTCACATTTTTGTCTATTTTTTGTGTAATTCAGTCAAATGCAGTAGTAATTTAGTTATATAATGTAATTCACTCGTAAGTCTTCTCCAAACTTGGTTAATAAGGTTAGCTTAAATTGATTGTATAAACTTGCTCATGTAATTCAGGAAAGTACAGAGAAACATTGTATAGTTATCTAAGAAGGTAGAAGAATATCATGGGTTTATTGCAATCTTTCACTAAGATCTTGGAAACATGTTATTAGCATTTAGTGATCATAATCTGACGACGCAGCAAAGCTTCTATTTAATTAATCACGACAGGATGCTGAAATAACACTGAATCAGATGTGTCAATGTGATTAAAAGTCTATTAGTAGAAGAATGCTTGAATGTTTGTGATCGTCTTAAATAAACCAATTCACACAAATCCAGCGTCGTTGGTTTTATATTTAAACCGGAGTTGGAGATGTGCCATGTTAACAACCTAGCCAGGCTTAATGTAAAATATTCTGCCAGTTTTGTCAAGATGGGTCGTTCATCACGCTATGTAGGTCATCCAGTAAATTTTCCTGGTCGAAACTGCAATCAAACAAAACATTTTAAATTAGCTCTTTTATAAATATCCCATCTTCAAATAACATTTTATCTACTGTTTTCTTTATACGGAAAAAATCAAAATTGCACGGTTTGTTATAATATATGATAATTTAGGGAGCAAAGAAAAGAGAAAAATATCATCAAGTGCTATAAATAATCAAGACACAATATGTGACATAATTTGACCATCTTACTAGAGCTAAAATCAAACTAGAATGTTATTTAGTTGATTCAATCACATCTAGTGTTTGAACTCAAGTTGCTAACTTAAGTTACTTACTTGCAGGATTGAGATATTCTCGTTCGGTTGATTAGAGTCAAAATACTAATTAGAATAACGAAATATGTCTGTTTATCTTGTTAGTTTGATATGCTCTAAATTTGCTAAATTTTTATAACAATTAAATATATAAATTCATCACATTATAAAAAACATGTTAATAAACATTACGGTCTAAAATTGTAACAACCATGAAGTAGTTAATCAGTTAACTTCTCAATATTCTCAATACGCCTGACGTGGTGGTACTTGTCAATGCAACTGTTGTTGGTAGACAGGGAGTGTAAACGGTCAGCTTGTGTCATGTCATCCATACTGT